AAAGAATCCGCCTGCCAATGCAGGAGACACAGGCCCAATCCCTGAATCGGGAGGATCCCCTGGAGAAGGAAAAGGCAAACCCACTCCAGTATTCTTCCCTGGCAAATCCCATGGACAGAGGAGCCTGGCGGGCTACTGGCAAGCAATATAGTACACAGAATGGCAAAGAGTCAGAGATGCCTTAGCAACTAAACAACAACAGCCAGGGAAAGACAGCCCTAAAGAATAACCAGTAAAAACAAGCGTTTTTCTGTCTTCCTCAAGAGCTTACTTCCTCTGTGCTAAGTGCAATTTTTTTTTTTTTTTTTTTTTGCATTATGCCTGAGAGGGAGACATTATTCTCCTCCCCATGTAGCAGGTGAGAGCTGAAATAACCTGCAAAAGCAGGCTGCCAACTGAGGGGTACCTTCCAATTTCTGTTCTTTCTGAGACCTCTCCTGATTTCTTCTATTAGCCAGTGTTTCGTTCAGAGGCTTGCAAAGAACACTAGTAAAGTCACTGCCACTTCATGATCTATGTAACCAGAATGTTACTGTTACACATTAAAATGTATTCAGAAACCACCAGCTCCAAGCAGCCACAGGAAGCAATAAAACCCAGTAATTGTCACAGTAATAATACCAGCTACCTTTTGCTGAGGGCTAAGCAGGAGCCCAGGCACCCTGCTGAACGCCTGCCTGCTGGGCATCCTCTATTTCCTCCTCTCAGCCAGGGCAGAAGGTGGTGCTTTACCATGCCCATCTTCCAGGGGAGGAAACAGGCCCCCAGAGGTGACGTAACCTGCCCCACAGTAACCCAGCTCTGCACTACCCCTCAGCCATCCACTGCCTTCCACTGCATTCCAGCTTCCTTCCTTTCTTCAGAGTCTCCTCCCTCGGGGGGGCAGGGGGGGGCAAACCCTCTGCCTCCCATCCTGATGGGCTGCTCCACATCTAAAGAAGACAATGACTTGAGGGATGGGCACGGCTTGTTTACTTAAAAATAAAGTAGTTCTTTGATAGCCACCTGCGAGCCAGTCTCAGGGCTGTGTGAGCCAGCAGAAGAAACAGCGACCACCCCTCCCAGCCCATCCCTACTCCTTTGCTGCTCCCAAGAAGTTCATGGTCCAAGAGGGAGAAGAAACAGATAAACAGATACAACAGGGGCTCTGATTACCCATCGGGCACCAACTAAACAACACCACCCCTATTCCTTGCCTCCCCCCTTCAAAAAAAGAAAAAAAAAAAAAAGAGGAAGAGAAAATAAAAGAAAATTCAGAACTCAAATTTAAAAAATAACTGAGACCATTTGGGCCTCATGACCGTGAATCTTGTGTTTATGGGCTGGCATTGTTTTTGTTTTTCAGGACGAGTTTGGGGACGATACAATCTTTGTATTGTTAGGGTGGTTACAGGACCAAAACACACCCAAGAGAGAGGAGGTACTCCGGATCGTTTTGTGGAGGGGCAGGTCGTGGAGGTGGAGGGTCTGGATCATTTGCAGAAACAGCTCTATCTCCCATCTGCTGTGAATGTTGTTAGTAATAAATGCTGGTCACAGAGCCAGGCGGGACACCTGGATACAGCTTTCTGCAAAAGCCCATAGATTCTGCACCAAGACGGAGGCTGTCCCCTGGCCCCAGAGGTCCCCAGACTCTCCAGTTTAGAATTTTCTGAGCACTGAAGCCCCGTTCTTGTGGCTTTTTGACCCCAACCAGGCCAGCAGTCAGGGCAGGCGGGGTCTTCACATGAGGTGTGGGGTTTTTCTTTGTGCCTGGGCAAGGAGGGATGACTGGAGAATGAGCTTGACCCTCCAGCTCCAGGCGGAGCAGCACCTTTGTCTGTCTTTAGTTTCACTGTCCTCTGACTTCTATGAGTGGGGCTGGGGATTCAGACAGCCAGTGCAAATCCGGGTGTCTCTGCCACTCCGTGGCTGTATGACCTGAGGGTGCAGGGTGGGGGGGATCCTTAATCTGACCTGTGGGCTCCCCATCTGCAAAACAGTGATGACAACAATAATTCTACCTTCCCAGGTAGCTGGCCAGGTGACCAATGCCGGAGACCAGGGTTCAATCCCTGGGTCCCTGAAAAAGGAAATGGCAACTCACTCCAGTATTCTTACCTTTGAAATCCCATGGACAGAGGAGCCTGGCGAGCTAGAGTCCATGGGGTCGCAAAGAGTCAGACACGACTTGGCAATTAAACAACAGCACAATAGCTGGGAGATTATATGAAATAACAAATATAAAGCATTTCAGGGCTGGCCCACCCTAAGAACTCCATCACTGCTGGACACTTTATTGTAACTGCCGTGGTGAGGCTATAGGAAGCATAAAATGGGAAGAACAAGCTTCGCCTGATATAAGATTTCAGTGTTATTACAAAAACTACTACTATTATCAGGAATTCCCTGTCAGTACAGTGGTTCAGACTCCATGTTTCCACTGCAAGGGGCAAGGATTCCATCCCTGGTGGAGGAATTAAGATCCTGCATGCCACGTGGCATGGCAAAAAAAAAAAAAAACAGGGGGTGGGGAGGGGAAGAAAGAAACTACTACACTACCATTATGATCATTTACTATTATTGTTATTAGAGTCTTAGATTAGTTGGGACCCGAAAAATAGAAGAGACAGAGGCAGAGTCTATCAAAGGACCCATCTTGGCAGTGCCTCCTGTAAGGCCTCAAACCCCTGGCATTTTTTGGGAAAGGGTAGAAATGACCATCAACGGGGCTCATCCATGTTCAAAATTATTCCATTTTGGGTCAGGAGTCCCCCCACTGACCCAGCGTATGTGCAGGAACAATCCTGGTTTCTTAAAGAGATCACAAACCTGCATCCAGAGGTTTGTCTTTTTTTTTCTTTTTTTAAAGGGGGCAGGTGGGGAGAACAGCATGTCCACAGCCAACGAGGACAGGAAATACTAAAGAAAAAGCTTGAGCATCCAGAGGCCATCGGACACCTAAAGCACAGAGAGAAGCGCAGCCATTAGCAGGCCCAAGGCTACCTCGCCGAGGAGCATGGACCAGCAGCCATCCAAGGTCCTTGCTCGCACAGGGAAGGCTCAACCACTGCCATGGGTATCACCACTTTCAGGGAAACTCACACAGAGAGGAGTAAACATCATCCAGGGGCTCTTTAGTTGAGCCGAGAAAAAACGTCCCTCCCAGGCAGGCAGAAAGCCCTGGGACACAGGCTCTGAAACCCAGCCTGCCTGCTTGCCTGCTATTTAGGAGGAAAAGAAAAAGCTAAAGCACAAGAGATCAGCTGAGTGTGGCTGGTGAGAATTTAGATCAGCAAACTCACAAATCAGTTTCAGGGGATAGGGTCTGTCTGCTATTTCAGAATCGAGAAGAACTCCCTCTTTCCAGCCCAGAAAAGCTCTAGTCCCAGGCAGAAAGGGCAAGCCCAGACAGCATGTGCCCAGGGGTGGGAGGGAATCAACCAGAAAAAGAAACTGATTTCTTCTCCTTTTCAAGACAAGCCTGGATGATGCAAAATTCTGCACTCGAAGTCAGTAAAGCAACAACAACAATAAAAAGTTACCCTTCACCAGGCAAAACAAAAATGACCACAGAACAAATCCCACCCCCTGCTTCGGGAATTCACTGGGGACAGCATTATGATCTGCCCGGGACCTTCTCGGCCTTGCCATCACCAGACCCATCCATGGAATCCCAGTCGTGCCGTACCAAGGCCTCAGACCACGAGGTACTCCTCACCTCCAGGATGTAATTGCTCCCAAAGAGTGGCGATCAGGCCAGGAGGCTCTTGCCCAGGCCAGCCACTCTGTGCTTGTTCTGCTGCTGCTTCCAGAAAGGTTTTTCTCCTAATAAATCTTTCAGGAAGTCCCACTGAGTGTTCAGAGGATCCATCCAACACCCTCCTTCATTGGTTAAAGCTTGAGACAGATTCGCTGTGACCACAGGACTGTGTCAGATGAACAAGCCTGAACTTGTCACTGCCAGTATGCAAAAGAGGGCTGCAACATCCTATAACAAACAGCGCAGCAGACACAGTCCCTACCTCCTCAGAGCCTCCGCGCACCCACCACACACAAACACACGTTTCTTCCCGCTTTGCTCCAACAGCTGCGCAGCTCCAGGAGCCAGGACGCAAAGTGGTGGGGGAGGGGGGGGATGCGAGAGGGGCCGCCAGCCTAGCTTTGGAAAACAGAAGACGGAAAAGAAACACCCAAACGTCCCCAAAACCCCTCACTTAAGGATCTCCTCTCTTCTCTCATCTTACAGACGGGCCTGAAGTCAGGGGCTCAAGCGAACAGAAGAATATTCCATGCCTGCCAACTCTCGGGAAAATACCTGCACACCAACCACATGCACCCTCATGGTCGCCCTTCCCGAAAGTCTAGGCTTGCTTGGACCACAAACGCTGGCATAAATAAAAGCACATTAGCCTCGGGAGAGTAAACCTAAATAAACCAACAATCCATCCAAATAGAATTACCAGGATGAGGGTGTGGGGGCACCCGGAAAATCAGTAAATGCAAGGCACAAGAAGAGAAAGTTTCCAAAACCAGAGTTGCTGAGTTTTCGGAAATCACCTTGTTGGGGAGTTGGGGCGGGGTTGGGGGTGGGGGGAGATGGGCAAAGGATGGAGGGTGTATCATATGGTTCACAGGCTTCTCAATTAGCAAAGGGGGCCTCCCGACCTCGTCTGCGAATCCTAATCAGTACTGATCGGAGGGGGTCTATATTTGGAGGTTATAGTAAATACTTTTCATCAAGACCACAGATCCGGAATTATCTCTCTGCAAGGGCTATTTGATGTCACCCTCTTCCCCTCCCCCCCGCCCCCAAACGCCCCAAACTCGCTGCCAGTCTAGAGTCTGGAGATGAGGAAAGTGCACGGTTAACAAACACACTGGGATCTGAAAGCTCTTTCCGTCGGTCCAGCTGCCCACCGCGCATCCCTCCCCGCAAGGCCAAGGCTGCCGACTCTCCAGAAAGGCGGAGGACAAAATTGTAACTTACTGAAAGGTGGCTCCAACCGTGTCTCCGCAGGTCACCGGGACCGCCAACATCCTTTCCGCGTGGAAATCCACTCGAGGGGGTCCGGGGCGGGGGCGTGCCGGGGCTCATCCTCGCTCGCGGCCCCTCGCCCTTCCCCCGGGCCCCGCCGCCCGGAGTCCGCCCGGCCCGCGGGCCCATGTGCTCGGCGGCCGCACGCGCTCTGCCCGCTGGAGCGCTGGGCTGGCGGGCGGCCCCTGACGTCACGGCGGCTCGCGCTCCGGGCCGCGGGGGAGGGGAAAGCGCGCGCCGCCCGGCCGGCCGCGTGCGTCCTCTGCCCCAGCTGGGCCGGCGCCCCCCGGCTCCCCGCCGCCTTGCCTGAAGCCCCGGGAGCCCCTCCGCCCGCAGCCGGAGCAGCCCCGGGCATCCAGCCGCGGAGGGCCGCGCGCGGAGGCGGGGAGGGCCTGGGCCGCCAGGGGCCCCGATGGCGCGGGGGAGGGCGCGCTGCGCACCGGGCTGGGGGGTCCTGGCTGCGTTCGCACCGCGGCCCGGGGAGAGTCAGCTCGAACTCGATGATGGTGCCCATTCACTTGTGCGTGGCAGTTTCAGCGGCCCTCCTCCCCACACCTCCACACCCTACACCCCACCCCCCTGCCGGCGTCCTGGAGTCTTCCCACTTGCCAGATGTGGAAGGCGAGTTTAGGGAAATAAGATGGACCGAGATGCTCTAAGATGGGAGCTCTCCGCGCAGCAGACCCTGGCTTAGTTCCATCTCTAGAGATCCCAGCGCCTTCTTGGGTACCACCAGCATCTGCTGGCCCGGTAAGAGAGGCGCACACACCTTCTCACCCTTCTCACCTCCTTCGACGTCTCCAGCTGCCCCCGAGGGCTGAGGTTGGCACATCCGTGCAGAGGGCGGCTGTCTACACAGCTGCCTCCCCTCGGGTGTATTAAACGACCCCCCACCCCCACCCCCACCGTGAATGTCCAGTTCCCCGCCCCCTCTCCGCCTGAAGGAAAGAGAGAGCGCTGGCCTCCTGCGGGAAAAGCATTTATCTTGCTTCCTCTACAAGAGCCCGGGACTGGACCGAAGCGAGGAGCTGCCTCCAGTTCACTCCATCATCTCCTGAGCCCTTAAGGGAACCAGGCGCCCTGCTAGGCAATTGGGAGGAGCGACTGAAAGACGAATTAGATACAAACCCTAGAAGGAGGTCACAGCCCAGTGAAAAGATGGACACGCAAGTGGGTGATCTGAGAATTATTGAAGCGAAGACTGTCTCTCTCTCCCCGACCCAGTGCGCTGCCCTCCCTTTCATTCCAGCCCACCCAGCAGCCTTCAGCCCATCCTTCCCGCTCTTTTCTATTCAGTTTCTCCTATTCCGAGGGCTTCTTCCTGACTTGACTGGCTCCCCTCTCTTGAAAAAAAAGCGAAACTTCAGGTGATGCTCCTTGTACCCTCTGAAACACAGATTCATTTATAATCACGGAACGCTTGTTTTGTGCCTGGTCTTGGAGTTCTGACGGTCAGACCTCAGCATCTGCATAAGGCACTGTCAGAACTGTGAGAACAGCCCGCGGACTGCTTAAAAATTCTCCCTGGAACCGACTTCTGTCATCCCCGGGGAAGCTGGCCATGCTTCTGGTCGGTATCTGCAGGCCAGGTGAGGCCAGGCTTCCAATGACAATTCCATTCTCTCAGACTGTAGGTTGGCTACTGTGTCCTTCCTGTTGGCTGTCTGCCCTGGGGCCTTTCTGGGCTGAAAAGACACTTGGACCCAGGACTCACTAAACATTGACCTTGACTTTGCTTGCTGTCTTTGGATCCCTGAAATATTCATCTTAAATTCAAGTTTTTCTGTTTTTTAAAATTCCTCTTTAAAATAAAACAAAGTTTTTTCGGAAGAAATGCAAAGAAAATATCTTAACTATTCCTACCATCCAAAATTAACTAAAATGACATTTTGGTATACCTACTTTCAATTGTTTTTTAAAACTTGTTCTCTTCTTGCATAAGGGTACAGTACAAGTACATTGTAAAAAATTAAAACTGCACAAGAAAGTATAGAAATTAAAGGGAAATAAAAATTTTATCAGCCAGAAATACTTTCCATAAATATTCTATAAACCCAAGACCTCTTTATAGGCATACTTATTTATGTATCCAGGTAGATGGATAGCTAGATGCAGGATTGACAGACAGGGAAAATATATTGATTTTGAAATCTTAATACTGTGTAGTTGCTGTTTTTAAATTTAAGGCATTTCACTTTCTTTGAACAGAAGACAAGGAAGCCAACAAGAAGTTAAGGAATCGTTAAACTTTAAATCTTTCCTTACCACGTGAGAGATATCACTTCCTAAATAATTTGGCAAGTAGTCAGATGAACAAAAGGAGAGTGAAGTCATGGTGTTTTCTTTGTAGGTCTCTCCATATAATTATTTATGAGTAGGTATTTCTCCAAAGATGACATACAAATAGCCAACAGACATATTAAAAGATATTGATTATAAATTTCTCTTAGCAGGCAATACCTTGCTCCCACCTGCCCTTACTTCACCTCTTTTATCTCTTAATTTTCTTAATGTTTTTAAATTGCCAAGCTCCATTCCATAACTGAAATTCCCATGGTTATTTAATATTGGGTCTATAATTACATAATTTCATGTTCATGGTCAGTCCTTCCCTTTTCTTTCTTTCTTTAAAAATTTTTTTATTTGTCTATTTACTTATTGTTTTTTTGGCTGCATCTCTTGGCATGCAGAATCTTAAGTTTCCCAGCCAGGGATTGAACCGGAGCCCCCGGCATTAGAGAGATGCAATCTTAACCACTGGACTGCCAGGAAAGTCCCAATCCTTCCCTTTACTACATCTGCTTCCTTATCTGCAAAATCCCCCCATTCACTTATCGCACATTTGGAGCCCCAGTTGAGTATCAGGCACGAGCTAGTCCCCTAGACTCTGTGGCAATAAGACAGACAAGAACCCTGTTCTTGAGCACCTTCCATTCTAGTGAGAAAGCCCAGACAAATAAGCCAACAGGCAAGGGAATTTCAACAGCAATGCTACCAAGATGGGTAAATCTGGGTGAAGAGCTAGAATGGTTGGGGGCAGGCAAGGAACTGACCCCAGACAGTCTCAGCAAGAAGGAGCCAGTTGTGCAGACTGACAGGAGAGTGTTCCAGGCCAAGGGAACCACAAGGGTCAAGCCCGGAGACACATGAAAGCAAGATCATCAATCATTCCACAAAGGCATATGGAGTCAGACCAGCAAACAGTTGCAGACATCATTTTCTATTGGGGCAGGAATCACGTGTGTTCAACTCCCCATTTCACCCCCAGCACCAAATCAGTGAATATGTATAGAAGCTATAAGTGAATGACTGAATTGATACCCTGGATCCTGTGGTAGCAGAATGAGGGTGGAAAAGTGCCAGGAGGTAGAAACACAGAGAGAGACATCTGTTTGGCACAGGCCAGGAAGAATCCCCAGGGGAAGTGGAGACTACAGCTTGAAAAATAGCTTGGACAGAGAGGAGAGTAGGGTGTTTGAGCAAAAGGAACATGCATCCTTGTAGAGTCTGACAAACTCTGAGTGGTCTGGTATCGCTGGAGTATGAAATCACTGTTGGAAAAGTGAAGAAAGGGTAACTGGGTCAGAGGAAGGTAGATCAGATTCTGAGAGACCTTGAAGTCCAAGTATTCTCGCCTTTGGCTTAAAGAAAGGAAGATGCCACTTAGGACCTGGGTGAGAAACAGTGAGAGCTTGGACCAGAGGAAGGCTGCCTTAGGACGGAGGAGAAACAGGTAAATGCTTAGGAAAACACATTCACCCAGTAAATCTGGGGGAGAGCAGGGGAAGACTCAAGGGTAAGTGCCAGATTTGGGATTTCAGAAATGGTGGGTGGGTGGGGTGTCACTGTTTGGGTGGGAACTCACTGGAAGATGCAGGCCTGGGTGGGGGAAGGGATGCCTCCATTGTGGACTGCGAGGGTTTCACAAACCTTTGGTCCTTCCAGGTGAAGCCTGGGAGGCAGGTGGCTCCCAGTGCCCTATATTCATGGGTAGTGGATGCCCAGAGCAGGACTGAGCCCAGGCAGGAAGTGTATGTTAAGGGAGGGGCCAAGGGTCACACTCAGAGGAGCGAACGTTTATGGGGCAGAAAGAGGAGGTGCTGGTTTCAGTTGCTCTGTTGTGTCTGATTCTGCTATGGACTGTAGCCCGCCAGACTCCTCTATCCATAGGATTTTCCAGGCAAGAATATGGGAAAGGGTTGCCATTTCCTTCTCCAGGGGATCTTTGCAACCCAGGATTTGGATCTCAGTTTCCTGCACCTTTTGCCTTGGCAGACAGATTCTTTGCCATTGAGCCACCTAGGAAGCCCCAGAAAGAGAAGGAAGCTGCTTGTACTCAGAATGCTCTCTGTAAAGCTGTGGTCCTTTGCTTTCTGCCTGAACTCACAGGCCTGAATAGCAATGAGAACAGGCCCCATCACTTGCTGGGGGATGGAACCTCCACCTTCTCCTCTTCCCAAGGTTTATCAGGTGATTACAGCCTAGAGGTTCACCCACCCATCTTTCCTGATGCTCACAGTCATGGATATGGAAGAGGCTTCTATCTCTCCCTCCTGGATTCTGCAGCCTAGCTGGTCCCTCTGCCTTCAATCGCTCCTCTCTGATAGCCTCTAAGTAGTCTCTCCAGGGAATACCCTGGCAGTCCAGTGATCATAGCTCTGTATTCTTATTGCTGAGAGCCTGGTTTCAATCTTTGGTCAAGGAACTAAGATCCTGCAAGCCTCAAGGTGCAGCCAAAAAAAAAAAAAAAAGGGTAGTTTCTGCAGATTTACCTTAAGAAGAAGCAAGTTTCTCCCCTCTGCTATCCCCAGCCTACTACCCCCCACCAGTCATCTATTCTCTAACTGTCTCATCTCCTTCGCTTTTTCTTTCTTCTAGAATATCTTTCATTAGGGGTCACCTGTGCTTTTTCGTGGACTGGTCCCAGCATCTCCTCTTCCATGAGCAATTCAGAGAATACCCTAGGCTACACCTTCTTCTCCTGGTCAGACTCATGGTCACGTTCTCACCAGCCCTGCTTGGCAATCTCTAGGAGTTACTGAGTCCACCTCACCTCCCTCTTCAGCCTCTGAATAGCCCTTGGGCAGAGACTTTGCCACAACTCTCATTCATCGAGTCAGTAAGGCAAGCTGAGACCCAGAGAGCTCACTGGTCTTGACCAAGGTCAGGTAACGAGCTTGTGGCTGAGCCAGGACCGGACACCAAGTCAACTGGCCTAGGTGGCCAACGGCTCATCTGCCGCCAGGTGAAATGAAACTGGGTCAGGTTGTATTTTGGGCACAAAGAAAAGAAAAAGTGAGCTCTCAATTCATGGACACCTCTGGACCATACAGATCAGCCTGTCACCATCCCTCCGAGGGCACTGGGAAAACATTGATGTCAAGAAGATCTGAATTTGAATCCAAAAGCTATCAGATGACTCTTAGTAATTTACTTCATCAAAGTCTCAGATTTGAAAAGATTGATTATTTTAATTGTGGCAAAGTAAACATAACATGCCTGCAATGCAGTAGA